TCAGAGAATGCTCAAATAAAGCTTCTGTTAAAAGCAGAGATCCATATTCAAATTTTAAGAGGTTCTCCATCGAACTTTAAGTTTTTCCGTCTAAATAACATGGAAAACATGGTTTTTTGACACTTTTTTGTCCTGCAAGGTGTGAAAAAATTTTTTTTTATGAAAATATATAAATGGACCTTTTTTATCATTAAATTTACTACAAAAAGTTCTATGAAGTCAAATTTTTATCTTCAATACTTGATTTTTGACAGAGCTTTAAACTTCAAATTATCGGTTTTCTGCATTTTTTAGCTATACCATAAGAGTTAGAGAAAAATTTTAAATAGCCGATTTCTAGAACGTTTAAAATTCTACAAAAAAGTTCTGATCAACTTTTTTGTAACACCAATAGCTACAAAGTTATAGCCTTACAAATATTCATTTTTTTAAATTTTTCCTTCTACGAACCCACGACCTAGGCGGCCAATTAAATTCAGCTCTTCGAGAAATTATTCTATTGCCAAATCTCTCCCTCAAAAGATTCAATGTTTCATCCGATGTATGGCAAGTGGCACCATCTTGCTGGAACCACATGTTCTGGACATCCATATTTTCTAATTCGTTCCACAAATAGTCTCTTATCATTGCCCTGTATCGAGCTCCATTCACAGAAATTGCATTACCAGCCTTATTCTGGAAAAAATAAGGACCAATAACGCCACCTAACCAAAAACCACACCATACAGTCACTTTTACAGGATGTAGTCCTTTTTCCAGTATTACTATTGGATTTTCCTCGCCCCATATTCTGCAATTCTGTTTGTTTACGAATCCACCAATTTCGAAATGAGATTAGTCGCTAAAGATAATGTTTTTGGAAAAAATCGTTATTTTCTTGCCTTTTTTCTAAGGCCCAATTAACAAATATTCGACGTGCTAAATGATCGTTTGGTTTTTACTCTTGAGTCAACTATACCTTATAAGCTTTTAAATGAAGGTCTTTCTTTAAAATGTTATGCAGACTTGATCTTTTAATGTTGACTTGCTGTGAACGTTTTCGAACTGACATTCAGGCCAATTCACTAACATAAGTTGTTAACGTTAGCCACTAGAATCAGTGGTTATCGTTTTATTTAAACGGCCCGATTGGCCGGATTGCCCGATAACCACTGATTCTAGTGGTTAACGTTAACGACTCATGTTAGTGAATTGGCCTGATTTTCGGGCTTTCACCAATACTAGCCCTTACCGCAGCAATGTTTTCTTCTGATCGGACACCTCGAATGTAACTACTACTCCTGCTAACTTCTACTGACCCAGTCTGTTGAAATTTCTTAATAAAATTCTCAATAACTTTAACAGAAGGTGCTAAATTTCTTCCGAAATGCGTACGACATCTTCTTGCAGTTTCAGCAAAACTTTCTCCATTTTGGTAATAAGTTTTTAAAATAAAAACGCGTTTTTCGATGGACAGTTGCTCCATGTTGACCAAGAAACTACTAACCGCAAAGTTTTTATTTGACATATGTCACTACAGAAAAACTGTCAATAAAGATTACTAGATATGGCAGTCAATTTAAATCACAGTCTGTGATTTAAATCGGAAGGTCAAATTTGGACACCCTTTATAATCTTAATATCATAAAATACATAATAAAAAAATCAAAATCCAATGATTGTTTTCTACATTTAGGTTTTTTAAGATTTTAAAAATAAATATAATTGTCTAGGAAATTTATTTTAATTTCCTGTTATTTTTTGCGAATCCAGTCAATATTAATAAAATTATATTATGTATAGAGGCGGACAAGCGAAAATACTTTATTCTCATATTCCCTTTATTTGCCGTAATTGTTAAATAAAACCAACCGCAAATAAAAATGATGTAGGTAATTTAGAACTTTTGTGTTTATTTACCGGTTTGATGTCGACGCTCCGGTTTATTAAAATTTATGGCCTTTAGAGTGCTGAGTTTTATACAAAAATGAATAAAAAAAATAACAGGAAAATTTTCTTTTAATGAAAAGGAAGCCTTCGAAAAATTACATAAATTAAGAAGATTATAAATGATGCTCTAACAAAAAGTCAGTATGCTATGGAGTCTAAAAACTGCTGTTTTTAAAATATTTTTTACGTAGGTACATTTTTTATAAAAATAAATTTAAATAAATTTATATTTACTAGGGGTGTGCGAATATCGTTCGAATCGAATCGAATCGAATAATTTGAATTTTCGAATTATTCGAAATTGTACGAATAATTCGAAAAAAATCGAATAATCCGAAAAATTTCGAAAAATTCGAAAAATTTCGAATGATTCGAAAATTTTCCATTTAAATTCCTTTAAATCGTGTATCGAAATATTCTTCTTACGAATAATATACTTTTCGTTTAAAAATCGATTACCCAGAGAAAACAATTGCTCATTTTCAATATATGTTTATCTCTGTCGGTAACCAGAAAAAGGTTACTCATGTAATGTTTCAGTATCGTATTTATTATTTTTGAACAAAAATTTGTAGCCAATTTTCAAATGTTGTATTTTTCATAAAACTGTATTTGCTATGATATAATTTCTGTTATTTCATTCACTTTAAAAAAATATATACTAATTGTTCCCTTTGTTTAACTATATTTCATGGTTTAAATAAAATGTATATTGACTGTTAAATTCATATTTGAATATTGAACATAAAAAATAGTTTACGAATAATTCCGAAAATTTTCGAATTCGGAACGAATAATTCGTAAGTTCGAAATATTCGCACACATTAAAATATAAGAATCATATTTAAAATGTCATTAAAATAGTTTTAAAAACTTTTAGTGTTAAACTGTTAAAATGTTCAATTTTGACAGGACTTTCATTGGCAGCTTAAATAGCGATATAGGCTATTTTATTTTAATTTTTTTGATTTGATTTGTTTTTGTTTATTGAAATTTTTTATAAAGATCGTGTATGTAAAAAAATGTTTTTCAGAACTTGGGAAATTCCTAGAATCTGTGATTTTTTTTAATTTGAAAAAAAAAATAGTGTTATTTTTTAATTTTGCAATAAGTTTTTTTACTAAAAAAATAAAAAAAAAATTTAATTAAAAAATAAAATAAAAATTTTAATTAAAAAATAAAATAGGTATTTTTATTTATTTATGCAGGAAATTTTAAATTGAAGTCCTTGTAATTCAAAAATTGATTTTTGAATTTTAAGGACTTAAATTTAAAATTTTCTGTATAAATAAATAAAAATATTTTACTTTTTAATTAAAATTTTTATTTAATTATTTAATAAAAAAACATTATCCCCTGAATCCAAAAATGTCATCAAAAATAAAAAAGTAGAACAGTTTTTGAGATACCGTCAATCATTCATATAATAAGGAATTGACTATCTCAAAAACTGCTTTACTTTCATAATTTTTAATGGTATTTTTAGATTCATGGGATAATTTAACATAAAAATTAGTTATTAAATGTTGGAGATACCATGGTATCCCATGGTTAACCATGGTAAAAGTGAAAAAGCAGCCACTATAGTGGCTTCTTTTTTACTTATTATTATAATAAGTGTACGGCATTCCACGCGTAACGGATGGGACAGTTCCAAGTTTTTATTTACAAAATAATATTTTTCTATTATATTACTAATGTAAAATTAAATAGTTATAAACAAAAGTTGTTTAACAAGGTTTTTTTTGGCAAAATTAGGTATCGTGTTGTCTGTTTAATTCCTTAAAAATTATTATTTTTTATTCAAAAACAGTACTAGTAGGGGTTTTGAATAAAAAAATTAATTTTTAAAGAATTAAACAGTCAACCACGATACCTAATTTTGCCAAATAAAAACCTTGTTAAACAGCTTTTGTTTAGAACTATTTATAAAAATTTGACATTAGTAATATAATAGAACAATGTTATTTTGTAAATAAAAACTTGCAACTGTCCCATCCGTTACGCGTGGAATGGCCGTGTAGTAACTAATCATTTTTGACTAATTCATTAAAGAGTGGATATAATATAGATTTTTAAATTTCAAAATCCTTATTATATTTATTATATTTTATTGGTTCATAATAATAGTAAGTGTATGGGGTTTACTATAGTGCTTAATGTAAAATAAGATTTTACCAATTTTTATTACCGTGGTGTAACCCCATGCTAACTTCACGAATTTTGACTCAATTCAAAACAATAAAGCGGAGCGAGGCCTTCGGGTTGACAGCTGATTATAAATAAACGTATTTTGTAAAAATAAAAATAATATAATATTTTTTAGCAAAAAAATGCGACTTTGAATAATTTGTTATTTTAATTTTTTTAATCTATTTATGTATAAAAACTTTTCTCATGAAAACAATAAACCCTCACTTTATAAAGTCATGAAATCTTTATAACAAAAAATTTCAGTGATACGTTTCGGCAGATATCTATAATTAAATAAAAAAAGATCAATACTCAATATCACTTATATAACATATCTTGTTAGTTCTTTTACTTCCGATCTTTGTAGTTTGATTTTCTTTTACAAAATGTATTCGACCATTTACTGAAAAATATCCCTTGTGGATAAGAACTTATTAATTATAACCTATAGGTTTTTTATGTTTTAATTTGCTACCTTATTTCTTGGAATAAAATGGAATAATAATTAATCCATTTTATTCCAAGAAATAAGCTACCTAAAATTTGTTTGCGTAGCAAATTAAAACATAAAACACCTAATTATTAATAATTTAATTTTAATTAGGGCTTAAAAGGTTTCAATAATTTATTTTTAATTTCTTTGACAATTTACATTAATTTTTAAATTAATATGACGAAATTGGAGAATTAAATATTACAATTTAAACTTGTAAATAAATTTTTAAAAATGTGCTTTTCATTTTCTTGCTTTTAAACAGGACAAGATCGACCCAAAGGCATTTCGTCTACAAACTCACACAAAAAATTCTTTTATTATAAATATAATTAACTACTTAAAAGGACTAAAATAACTTAAAAGAAGCAAAATGATATCTTACCAATACTGGTATCATAAGCGTGCAGGTATTCAGAAGTCATAAATTGCGAAACCAAGGACGATTTCCCGACCGCAGGACCTCCGAGTATCAGGACCTTAAAAGGAGTAGGTCCTGGGGCTGAAGTAGAAGACTCCCTCGAGGAGGCTAAACTGCAGGATGCAGAGGTCCTGGCAGATCCGGCTGCTGATACCGCACCTGGCAACTGCTCAGTACTGAAACAAAGACAAAACGTTTAAAACGTTTTTCTACACAGCAAAATTTCCTGCAAAAAAATGTAAATGTTTATATGATTTTTTTAATGTATATAATTTAACAAAATAGTTATAAATGTTGTTTATTAGGGTGTCCGTTATTTAACAAGTTGGCTGTTTTCACTTGGGTATCGTTTAAATTGTTAGTTTAAACACTAAAAATAATTTTAAACAAAAAATTCCAATGCCCCTTAACCCTGCCTAATTGACGATACTTTTTCCATTCATTTAACATAGAGTTTTTACACTTTTTGTATTTTTTTCTAGTTATTTATTATTCAATATATATTAAATAACTTACCAAATATTGTTAATTCTACTTCTATTATGATCCCTTTGGATAAATAAATTTTGATCAAAATTCATGTTTACCGTTTTTACCAATAATTTTGTAGAAATTTACCGACTACTGAATATTTATTCTGTATGTAAAGTTAATTTTTTTATTATACGCACTTAATAATTATAAATATTCAGAAAATTTATGAAAATTTTTAAACACAAATCCTTATTTATTTTATTTTAATTAGTTTTAATTATCAAACAAGTTTTTTCAATTATCTGCTTTATCATTACATGGGAATAATCTAAATTAAATATTTATGGGCACTGACTTAACTCTGGATAAAAATTATGTAATGATTAAGCTAACTTTTAAGGCCCAGTTGTATACAACTGGTTATATATAACATTTGGTAACATTTGGTAAACAGCTGGTTAACTCTTGATAATAATTATGTAATGATTATTTAGCTAACTTTCAAGTTGTATAAACATTGATTAAAATTTAATTAAGTGATCAACATACAATTAACAAATCGGTGAATTTTGAGTGGTTAACGCCGGGTTGGAACACACATAACCTTATAATTGTCAACGTTTAAAAATTTTCATTATGTTTTTGTTAGTATTTATCTGTGGTTAGCATTAAAATGGTAGAACATTTAACGGATAATGCAGATTTTTTTATAATTAGTAGAAATTGTTCTTTGTTTTAGAAACCCGAAACTTTCGTGCTAGACCTGAATGTTTTACAGATTTAAATATAGAAGAATACAGAAACAGATTTCGTCTTTCAAAAAATATTATAACTTTTTGAAATAAAGAAATAGCCATAATTTCTTTAAGAACTAATACAGAATAAGCGCTTTCTTTTAGGCAAATGAATTGAATTAACTCTTCGATTTTTGGTAACGGATTCATTTTGCATTCTATATGTTTTTATATTTTTTAACTACCTATTCAAAGCAATAGCCAAGAATCTTTTCCACTAAAGTTAGCGACCCATTTACCAAAATCTTTCAAGCTATTGCTAAAGCCATTTTTTTTATAATTTGGACAAAATATTAAAACCTTTAACCAAAAACACAAAACACACCTGCAAGAAGAAATATAATTAAATCTACTTACAATTGCACATTAATGTATGCAATAAATAAATAAATACCAATATACTTACTAAAATCTTCCTAAACAACAAAAATTATTAATATGAATTTGAGGAGGGCATGGTCAATTTGACAATTACGAAAATTATGACGTGACAAATACGAAAATTTGGGGATTTTTTAGTGAATTCCCCTAAATTTCAAAATTTACTAATTAAAACATAACCGAGTGTTCCACAACAAAATTTTCTTTATCCAGCTATTATAATAATTAATAATTATTGATTAATCCGTAATTTATTAATCGGTTGTTAATCGGACTTTTATACAACTGGGCCTTATATTAACGAAATTATTTTCTCTACGACTACCTTAAAATCCTTAAATCTAGTGTTTTTTGTTTCCCCTAGACAGGTCTGCCAAACTTTTTACAACATTCGTATATTGTCAAAAGTCGAATGCAATACTTGTATTTTAAGTAAAGTTTAAGTTTTTTCAACATTCAAGTGTTGCAATAAGTATTTATACAATATCTGCAAGTTTCCAAAACTATTAGTGACGTCTTTTAATGTAAATACAACTCTTTGGGTTTCCGCAACATACGATAATTGCCAAAACTCTTTGAGTTTTTGCAATATATGATAATTGCTAAAACTATGTATAATATTTAACTTTTCTCCATAAAAGCTTTACTTTTTCCCATAAAGCACAATCGCATAAACCTTAACAATTACAAAGTGAGTTTTTGCAATCTATGACAATTGCAAAAAGTATTTTAACTTTTATATTCTTTTAATTAATAAGGTTTTTCAACACACGAGTGTTGCAATAACTATTTATACAATAACCTGCAAGTCTACAAAAGTATTAGTGACACCTTTTAATGTGAATAGCTACATACAACTCTTAGACTTTTTACAATATACGATAATTGTCAAAACTCTTAGAGTTTTTGCAATATATGATAATTGCCAAAACTATGTATAATATTTAACTTTTCTCTATACAAGCTTTACTTTTTTCCATATAGCACAATTGCATGTCATTAAATAGCAAAACGGCGTTCCATAACTACTTAAGAATAGTAACATTCTAGTGTAATTTTTGAAAATAGAAAGGATGTTTTTCTGCAATACTGTGCGAGAATATTCCTACTCTTGTTTAAGAATGGTCACAAGTAACGACATCTCCTGGCTGTTTAGTAAACGTAAAAAATTTAAAAATATTGAAATATTTCTGTATTATTTATTAATTAAAAAATAATAGCAGTTGTATAATTAAGGTTTAGGCACAAAAATTAGTTATATTTATTGTTTTTCAAATATACAAATCAAAATTATAATAAATTTGATTTTAAAATGATAAACCATTTACCTACTATACCGGCTTTGAAGTTTTGACAGATTCAAAAAGTTTAAACAAAGACCTTTAAAATGTAGAAAAAGAATAGATGTTGACATAGATTACTTGTAAAATTAGTTTTGTATTTGTTACAATTACATTCTTACATTAATGTTATTTTTTTTATTAGTTAGTGTAAATAACTATTTTTAATTATAATAAAGATTTAGGCATACCATTTGTTTAAATTTATTATAATTTACATTATAAAATTGTGATGGCCCAAAATGGTTTGACAATACAAAAAACTTAAATGTCAAAAACTGCTTGGTTTCTTTTCTCTGTTTAAAATTATATAAGCGCTACTATTCTTACGTAGTCGTAGAGAAAATAATGTCTGAAACACGTTTGGAATAGCATATTCCACTCTCGTAAAACCGTCACACTCGCCTTCGGCTCGTGTGTCAAATTTTTCCTCGAGCGGAATATGCTGTATTCCAAACTTGTTACAGAATGTACTATTCTATTGTTAAAAGCAAATGTCAAATTTATCTTGATGAAATTTGAATTGTTTTATATCTAATTCAAAATGTCAATGTGTAGAGAAAATAAACGTTTTAAAGATAATTTCCCAATTTAATTTATATAGAAGCAGAATCAACAAACATTGGTTGATTATATAATATAATATAATATAATATAATATAATATAATATAATATAATATAATATAATATAATATAATATAATATAATATAATATAATATAATATAATATAATATAATATAATATAATATAATATAATATAATATAATATAATATAATATAATATAATATAATATAATATAATATAATATAATATAATATAATATCGACCCATGCAACGAAGACAATTGTAACTCAGTTTTGATTGTAGACTAGAGTAACTCAACTTAATATAGTTTTTTCCTGGAATGAGGATTATTACACTTACACTATACAGGGAAGTTGTTCACTGGTTGCCTATCGTTTCATGTCTGAGTTACTGTAATCTTCCACCAAATAGAGCTTGAAAAAATCTGTTAATGCCATATAGTAAGTCAAAACCCACGTTTTTTGAGTTACTATAGTCTTCGTTGCATGGGTCGATATAATATAATATAATATAATATTATAATAAAGTATCGTCATTTACGCAGGGTTAAGCGGCAACGAAATTTTTTTTTCAAAATTGTTATTACTAACAATTTAAACAATACCCAAGTGAAAACAGCCAACTTGGTAAATACCGTACATGTTCCTGGAAATATTGTTAGTAATTTGACGGTGATTTTCCACGTTTAAACAGAGTTGTTGGTAATTATTTTGCAAAATCGCTTTCCTGCTAACTTTTCGTAGTATCAGTAGGCGTGTAAAAAGGTAAATAAATCCTGCAAACTACACAGTAGTTTCGTGTTTCGGTCGGATAATCTAAACGAATGTAAATGCAGTTTATTTTTTTGTTTGGGCGAGCGATTGCTATCGATTTCGGGAAGCCTATTTTGTAGACAATGCGGGCGGTGGTGGATATGACAAAGCCATTCTGAGGTTTTTGAACCCTTAAATTTTATGCAACTGTGTCACTGGATAAAATAAATGTGTGTTGATTTCTTGAAATAAAGTAATTTCAGATAACGTTTGTTAATGAATAATTTGCCGTAGATTATGTAAATATAAATCGCTTACAAAAAATATTCAAAAAACGAATTGTTTAAAAAATGTTAAATTATTAAGAAAAAAGTCAAAATTAGTCATATAAACAATAGGCTTATTTAATCCCTTTTTGTATATTTGTACAGTTTTATTTAAAAAAATCTTTACAAATATAACGCTAAAAACATGTTAAAATATGTGTTTTTTTGATAATAAATAAAAACATGATATCTATAGGTATTATTAAAACGTTTATTGATAAAAACAAAAAATATTTACTGAAATATTTTATTAAAAAAAAGTCCACCTAAAACTTGTGATCCAGGAGCATTCGCCATTTTTGACACAAATTTTATAGCAAATATATTGATAAAAAAACTAATTTTCGTTATTTTATAATTATTTCTATATATATAAGTTAAATTTACACTATTTTAGTATTTGAATTTACACCGGACCAACGAACCATATTGAACACCATTTTGGTTTGTATCGATATAGACCCTGTATGGTGGTAATTTGGTGTTAAAATGGTCATGAAATTTTGAACAGTGTAAACACG